CATGGGAGAACTTATCCCAGAGAAACAAAGGAGCTTTCTCAGTTCAATTGCAGGGTCTTTGAATCTTGGAATCATGTTTATCGTTATCAAGACATATCATGATCTTAAGAACTCTGTGGGAGAGGATGGAGCCTTTTGGTTATATTCTGCTGTCTGTCTTTGTAGTTGCTTCTTTGTATACTTTCTTGTTCCAGAAACGAAAGGTAAGTCACTTATAGAAATAGAGGAATTTTTTGAGTTGACACAAATATCAAAGAAAGACAAGAATAAGAACAAAAATGAAGACGATCATACTTCAAAACAAGACACAGCAACTACAAGAACAGATGAAACAACAGAAACACCTTCGGCAGATGCAATAACAAAATGACATGAATAACTCAACAGAATAAAAATGTAACAGCTGTATTGGATATAGTTTCAGTGGTTACTGTGGGCATGGATTGATTCTGAGAGTGCTTGAGTTATCAATATTATGTAAATTGTACATTGTGTTCCACTAAGTACCTGAAGTCCCTCTTCTGTGTGTTTCAACCATCTCAGTGCCAGAAACTCTGCTCCAGGCTTACCTCCCAGTCTAGCCATTTTTAGTGGTACACTAGTAGCTTGCAGAAAATTATGTACGTATAGTCAAGCAATTACAAGAGCTGCCATGTAAGCCATACAAGAAAAAGCCTCTGTGTGTAAAGCACATTCTGAGAGAGATATTTTTTATATTTTCATGGCATATTGTTGTCCAAACTAGGTCAGATATGCTAATCTGAACAAAGCATCTGTAATTGATCAAACTCAGATATGGGATTGAACAAGAGTGAAGCTGGATTAGTTCTTGGATTAGAACACATACTCTGTATGTCCAAGTGCACATGTTGACGTGTGTGATTTGTATCATAACTGTAATGAATCTCATGTTTTAGTGAAGTGAAAATTTTTCACCCAAGCAGTTTGAACTTGTATGTTCTTCATTAAATATACTTACCTGGATGACAGATATTCTGTTCTTAATTTTTGCTGTGTTACTCCAGCCGATAGACTGATTTATAATGTGTTACAAACGTTATGATATTTTGGTGTTTTCATAAATTGGTGGGAGACTGTCATCCATTTCTTTAAAACACCCATATGTCTTTGTTGACGATGAATTACATTAGGGAAGTTTAGGTCTTTTCTACATTTGAGTAATTCTTACTCAGTATAAATTTTACTATGAGTGACTGAGAATGAAGTACTGATATTCTATATTGATTTAAAATGGATGATCTGAAAAAAACTAGAAAACAAAGTCTCGTGTTTATTAAGAGTGAGAATGAAGTCCTGAGAAGAACAGTGGGACCTCAGAAAGATGGAGAAAATTACATAAGGAACTTAATATTATTATGATACTTTATGTGGGCATTATTCATTGTCAGCTTAATTTATTCACTTAATGAAAGGTTATTGTTTTGACCACATTGGAGCTGTGTAGCACAGATATTCTTTAAGTTATAGAAGGATGGGTATAGTGAAAGTGAGCACTTTGTGTTGGCATAGTGTTTCTGGATGCTTAGTTCATAGATGTTTTGCTTTAAAAGGTAAGTTTGACTGACAGAACTGTTGAAAGTAATGATATTACTTTAATTTTGAATGTTTGTGATGAAGGTCCATTATAGTAGTTTTTAATATCTTAAACATTATTCCAGGTGATCAGATTTGTCCATGGTATTATCTGACTTCCATTTACCTGAGTTTTTTAAAGCAGTAAGATAAGAAATCCCTCTATTTTGCATATATCTCATGTGAAATATTCTGGTTATGATTTCATCATGAATTAATTTTTATTTCTTCATAGTTTTTCCAAGTATCCAAACATTTCCTTGTGAAGAAATTAAGATGTTTAATATGCTTAAACTTTTAACTCTTTGAGTGATTTTATTTCCCTGTTTAACATTATATAGTTTTACAAGACAGTAACCTAGCAGTTTTGGTGGCATATATTTTTACATTATTTTCCTTAATAATAATTTTGATAGTTATAAAGAGAATCTCTGTACAGAAGAATTACCAGTTTTATGTAGTGCAAAACAGTTCTAATGAAAGTGTATTCCATTTCATGTAATGAGAGAGCATAACAGTGACTGATAAGGGTATGGTGATTTTACAGAATTGCTTGGATTTACTGAAAGTTTAACCTGATTCAGATAGTTAGACCTGCCCTGATGGAAATCAGGTCATTGATAAAAAAACTGAGAATTTCACAGATCCTGTGTTAATAACATTTCCAGTAAGACTGAACAGGAGGAGGTATGTCTCTGTATACACTATTAGGCACATTTCAAAGATATACAAATTGCCTGTTGTCATTTATCATCTCTGCCTGCCCATCCACATGAAACAATTACCTTCTGATGAATGTATTTTGAAGATTCCTTTCCAAAATATCTGCAGAGAGGTATATTTTATTGCACACTGTAGAGTAACAATTTCAGTTGGTTTTTAAGTCATTGTTAAGACTAATGAGATTAAGTATTGAATAGATTAAACAAGGTATCTGACATATGTTATATCCATAGGAATAATTTTATTTGTGCCCTTATCAGTAAAATTTTTTTGGATACTATGTGCTGCCTTGTAAAATGCTCATGACCTTGTGCATGTCACATAGTGGACTGGACCGCTGATGATGGTCAATTAAGACTCAAACATGTATAGTTATGTAGTAGAACAATTAATGTGTTTAGAAGTAGTTGGTATATAAAAGTTTCTGTATTAAGGAAACTACAGGTGTGAAATGATATAAAAGCAACAGTACTTTTTCCATATTATATCGGCACATGAATTGAGGAATGCAAGCTCTTTTCATTTGTCCTAAACACCATTCGACAATAAGTCTCTTTTATTTATACTGTAATCTGTTGAATGCTATTTACTTATCATAGTTATGATTACAGAAATGAGTTATCAGCCAAGGTTTGAGCCCATAACCTCTCACTGTTGTTTCCTTGCTAATAAAATGTTGACCTCCTCAGTTTCTTGATATCATATGTCATTTCACCAATGAAGACCAAACAGCATTAGTACTTATAAATACTTATTTTGTGTTGCCTGTACATTTAAACTGTTAAAGCTATTCCTGTTCACACATTTGTCTCCATGAACAGATAGTATGCCGAGTATTTCACTTGTAGCAGAGGAAAGTTGTACTTTTCTTGTCACTGTTTCCATTAATTAGAAAAGAAATATGCCATGAGGCCTGACAATCTCTACTTATGAGTGAAATATCATATGATAATTAAGACCTTTAACAAAATTAAATACTTATAAAATTTGTTCTTTATTTACTAACATATAATATTAAAATAACACTAGAATGCTTATGGGTGAATGTTGAATCTTATATAATTTTAGCACTTCTCTACCTAATTCAGTTAGCAATATTTTTCAGAAAGAAACTTTATTCATGACAGTTAATCTTCTACGTAGAATCATTAGTTTTAAAGTAAATTTTTAAGAATAGGTGTACTTGCTCTAATTTTTATATACAAAATACTTTAGCTTCTGACTGAACCAGAGGTTTCATTTTGAAACTTTGCTGTGAGTAGAAGCAATTGACACATTCTTTAATCATGCACAATGAAGCAAGACAGAGAAAATGCAGAGTGATTGAAATGAAAGAATGACTAACCCTAAAGACACAGAAAGCCTTTATTTAATTTCTTGTAACAAGATAATTTGCATATTCAAGAAATTACAAGACATAACACAAGGAAATTTTTTCCGGTAAATACATTTTATAGTAAATTCAGATAAAACAAATAATGGATAGGCACATATATTGCACATTAACATTTAAATTCACACTGGAGATAATACTGCTTGAAGCACATTCCCAGTTATTTACTCTTGTTTAAAATAATTTGCCACAATAATTCAGGAACTACAGAAGGCAAAATATTGCTATCAATTTCCTTAAATCGTGTAGGTGTGTTTGACAACTGATGTGCAAATGCACAAATACAAGTATGTTTGTATGTACATAGACATGTGACAGTAATATCAGTCCCTTATAAGAACAATTATCAAAGAAAATAGTCTTGTCATGCTTGCAGTTAGGGTGAGAACATTTACTGAACACTGTTTTTTTCACAAAGTATGTATCCATTTACTTCTCAAATTTAATTAGTTAACATATAAACATTTTACTTTGTTTGAGAACTGACTAAAATAGCAAGATGTATCTAGAGTATATTATAGAATGATACAGCATAAAATGTTTTTTCAAATTATATAATGAACCCTTAAAATCCATATTCAATTAACTGTTCTATCACTTACCAACATGTAAGCTCAAGTCAGAAGTTCAAAAACGCAGTGTAAAGGACAGGTACAAATCCTGTGACTTCAGACCAGTGTCCTCAGCTTTAACATAAAAACTGTAAATCTCAAACCACCAATCACATTTATTTTCACAATCAAGCTCAGGATGCACGCAGAATGTCAGTTTCTAGAAAAGTTTCATAATGTATTTGTTGAAAAAATGTGAACTGATGTATGAAAACTGTCAGTTATCATGAATATTTCTCTTAAAATTATATACAACAGTAATAACATTTTCATCACATTATGGCATAAATTAATTCTGCATTCATTCCACAGCAAAGTAACATCATCATTTGAAGTAAAACCTCTTTAATTTAGTGATCATTCCTTGTTAAAAGTCAATTTCGGTAAGATTTCTGTGAAATGTATATCTTGAACTTGAGCTTATTAATTTACTTTGTCAGATGGTATAGACAAGTAGATGTTAATGGCTTTGTAGTTGGTGGTTATATTATGAAAATCATTTTATATAACCACAGTATAATATTTACATCAGACTTGAGAAATTACAGCTTTGTGGCTGCATTTAAATGCTGTTAAATTCACTGCACCATTTCTTCAGAGTTTATATTTTTGATCTTACAAAATCAAAGGTACTTTAACTAAATAAAGATAACTGGCACAACAGTGAAATTCATAATGCACAGTTAAGTCAATCTTTCTCAGTTATTACTTGTATGTGATCCCAATAAGAACTACCTTTACTCTTAGTGTTGCTAATATTGTTAATATTTGTATAATGCCCATTGCATCAATGGAAATTCACTGTAGTCATCCACACCATATAAGCGATAGGTAATCTTTCTTTCCTATGATGGCAACTGAGTTTCAGCAATTTAGCAAACAACTCAAGAGATTTTAATCCACAAATAACATCAATATTTTCACATTCATATCATTTTATCTAAATTGTAAATTTATGGATTGATGATTCACTATAATGAAGTTACTTTTTCATGTTTAACACATCCACCTAACATTCAGGAATACTGGTTACTATATATCTTATGATTAATGTTTTTTATCTCTTCAAATGTGCTGGGATAAGACTTCTTTATTCCCACTGAAGCCTTCACTAATTTACAATTCATAATTACCATATCATCAGCCATTACCTCCATATGGGAATGTTATCCTATGAAAATAATTTGCTATAGTTATGACAACTGCTTATGTTTGTAACTAGTTACAACTGAACAATGTCTGGGCACTGTCAAAATAGATATAGCTTCTGTCTTCTTTGTATGTTGAAAATTGACCTATCTGAGTTGAAATTATCCATGTAGACCTTGCTCATCAATTGATCAGGTGAGGAGCTGACAGAAAGATGAACATTTTGACTCATTAACTGCTACATTTCAGTTGGCTGACTTGAATGTTTGGATACTGACAGTTCGGTCTCTGATGATATAGCTGGCTGATCTGTTAGTTCAGGTGTTGACTGCTAGGTGGCATCATAATCAGGATGCACCATTGCAGGATGAAGATGGTGGAGGTGTGGTGGAAGCTCGATGGGAACGCCCAAGCTCCCCCGCTAAAAATATAATCAACAACTGTGCAAGGAGATGTTTTATGATGTCAGAACATTGAATGGTTTTATGCCAGGTTGTCTGTTGGACTGAGACCAGTATTCATGTAAATCATGTTCCAGTCCAGTGTTGGAATCAGTCCAACAGTCCCAGCAGTCTTATAATTAAAATAAATTTAAAGTTGAAATTTATCCTAGTAGGTTGTCATATCTTCAAATAAGTGGGTCTCAAAGATATTGAACTCAGTGTTGGTTTTCTGGGTTGCTGGCCTATGGGATCATGTCAAAGTGACAGTTTATCATTAAACTTGTTATGAACATTGACTCGTTAGAGGTTATTCCACCTGTTTACAATGCCATACTATCTTGAAATGTAGAAGTTCCATCTGTTAGCCAAAAATTTCACTGTCCTTTTATGAACAGGAATAACAGAAATCAGTAAGATAAATAAGTTCTTTAGTGGAAATACTACGTACACTGTAATATGTCACAGCTATCTAATTTATAAGTGTGCCACCTGTTACCTGTGACCGAAGTCCATTACTGGGAGGATGTGGTGGCAGTTCTAGTGCTGCTGGTACATATGTTGTGCCAGGAATGCATTTTGAGCACTGTCTCTTGAGTGCTGGACGCTGGCGTGAGCCCCGACATCTCAGTGCAAAACACAGCTCCTCTGTCATTTCTGCACATAGTGATTGGTGTGGTACTGGGACAGCCCTCTGTAATCAAGATTGATAAACTGCCTGACAGCATATCTTCAGCAGTTCATACTTACTAATTTCATCAAGATACTTCCTGTTATTTCAGAACACAAAGGATCATAACTGTGTTCACAACAGCACTCTATATGAGTCAGTTTAATCCAAGTCATGTCTTCTATCACTATTTCTTTAAGATTTATTTCAATATTATCCTCACATTTATGCCTAGACTCCCAAGTGATCTTATTCCTCGAGATATTCTGACAGAATTTGGTATGTGTATTTATTTTCCATGATTTGATTGCCTTGCAATATTATGTGAAGAATACAAATTATGACACTCCTTTTTATACTGTTTCTTTCAGTCCTTATATGTCCTAAGTTCTATTATCTTTTCAGCACTTTTTCCGAACATCATCTATCTTCCTTTAGTATGAGGGGCCATAGGACAGTTAATGATGCTCTATGAACTGCAGAGATTATGTAATGTTAAACGAAATGGAGGAGAATTCAATAACCGAAGAAAACAGGAAGAACAATGGGAAATCATGAATGAGACAACTGAAAGAGATTAAAGTGTGATTCTCAAAAATTCTTTTCTTGGAGTTGATGGGTATTTATAAATGTAAACCCTACTCTCAGGTGTGAGAAGACATTGCAAGCACAATTAGAATGTTATAAATTAAAGTGACTTGTAGAAAAATGTTCTGTTTAACACTTCTGCTACTAATACAGTAGAATGAGTAAGTAAAATTAAATGTTCGCTACCATTCTTAACATAACAAAACTGAGTGTACAAAGAATATTTAAATTATCTTGCCAATTAGCATCAGGATGCAGCGGAAGTATTGTTATGAAAAGAACAGTCCTGCTGTGCACTGTGGATGGTAATCTGCCTCTAAATGTACACAGTTCTGTAGGGCTGAGTGTTTATTTTGATATATTCCACAGTAGAACAAACATAAGAAATAAATAGGGATGCCACCTCATCTGATATGAGTTGATTTTGCAAAGTAGTAAGTAGACAGATTTATCACTGCCACTGACATTACTTTAAACCTTTGTCTT